CTGTGACAAGTCCTACCAAAAGCAGTCCTGTGAGAAGCACATGCAATCTCAGCTAGGTGACACTGCAACTGTGTGGTAAACAGTGAGAATGATAAGTTTCTCTCTAGGATATGAAAATTTTCCGTCTCAGTGAGAAGGTGAGAGTAGCATTCTTTTGGTAAAAACATAGCTTCATGGAAGAACTGTCATTAAGGATGCCAGTCACCCCATCTAACTTCAGAGGTTGACAATCTCTAAATCTGTTCGGGATGGCAAGGCTTCTTTTACAGTTGATGAAGACTGATGGGTGTTTCTAGTCCACTGTTCCTCCCATCTCAGTGTACACAGATGTCTAAAATAGATCATGTGAGTCACAGACTACAAATACTTGCTTCTTCCCTTTACTTAAAAAAGGAATCTAGACAACAGATGCCTAATTGTCAATGTCCAGTGAAGAACCACACAAAACTCTGTCTGGTCAGATGAGATTTGCTAAGCTGTGCAAATTAAACACAAACATTTCTAAACAGGAGAGTAAAAAATGGTTAGGAAAGAATGAACTGGATTAATGAATACCAAAAGATGAAAGACATAAAAATGAATACAATCTCCTTTTCCATTCTCTTCTTGTTTCATTCATTAATTTTTGACTATGTAGGTAAAAAGAACACCGTGAAATCTCAACCATCTTCTGAAAATATCCAGAATTTGAGAAAATAAGGTACCTTATTTTGAATATGAACTGTGGGAGAGGGCACAGAGAGAGGAAAAAGATAAACAATGATATATGAGGTTTTATCCCATTTTCTTGCATTAAATTTTCTCATAAAACTTTCAAACTAAGCTGAATGGAAAAATAAAAATAAAAATCAGGGTCACTAGCTGATGCCAATCCTAAATACAGTGTTCTGGATCAATATTCAAGGGATAATAACACGTTTCTTTTTCACTCAATTATCTGCCTTCAGAAACTGGTAAAGTGAACATTTTTCGAATGAATCTCACAGTGATCTCTGACTGTCAAGGAGAGCCTTTTTGCATTCAGCATATGGCACAGAGCATTCCTAATTATGATAGTAACAGCCTCCTTCGGTGTTTGCAAAGAATATTGACCTTTATTTTATTAGCAACTTTCCAAAGCCTCACTGATTAAACATTTGAATTGCTATTATAAATAATTCTTTCACTCTCCACTTAATGCAATAAACAAACGAACAAACGGAATTCCCTGAACTGTAGCCATATTGACAGAAAGACATTTTGATTTAATATGAAAATATTCAGTTGTGACATTCTTTGCATCCCCATATTCTTCAAGATGTATTTCAAAATATTAGTCCTGTCACACAACAAAATTGCTAAGGAGACCAACAAGTCTGCATGTTCACATACTAATTGCATCTCAAGGAAGGAGAAATCCTTTCATACGAAGTCTCCAGATCCAAACAGACAAATAATTATATCTGAAGAAGTAGGAAAGAAGTAGAAATACCACAATACAAATTAACATGTGATCCCCAAAGTGAATGAACACCTTTGGGGAAGACAAGGGTCTCGAGACAAGAACATATCTGTAGTCATAGATAAGGCACAAGCAAAGCTTAAACATATTAACAAACTTGAGTCTACTTACAAGTCTATTTTCATCTCAGAACTCTGAGAAACAGCCATCTCATACAGATAGATTGTTAGAATACAAAATAAGTCAAAATTGTAACTTGATTTGTGCCCACATCAGGGAAAAAAAAAAAATGACTCCAAACTCTTATTTTTATCACACCTCAGCTTTTGTATTTAGTTTAAGATAAAATTTTAAGGAAAGAATAAGTAGCAGCTTAGAGGTAAACAAACAATAGAATAAAAAGTAAAATAGCTTCAGTTAAGGTCAGACTAGCCTGATTTTTTCCTTTGATAGGATACCTTATTTTCCAGACAAAAGAACTGCACAGGGAGATTAGATTTTATCTGAACTTCAGCAGAACACTTGATAAGGTGTCACACCAGAGATTATTAGGAAGACTGGAGAGAAAAAAAATTAGAAAAAGAGCCCAAGGATGCTAACTAAAGTTACTGTTGCAGAGGAAATAACTATGAACTGCTCTGAATGCTAGACTGAAAACAAATTACTACAACAGTTTTCCTCAGGGATTAGTCTTGGTATTCATCCTGTTAATTATTTTAACTTTGTGATTTCACCTCTAAAATAGAAATTAATGCAAGAAGATGAATAAAAAAGACAGGTTTTGCCAACATAAAGGAGAAAGAATACCATATGAAGGGAAAATTGACTGAAACAGTAACAGGTAGGTATTAAACAGAATAAACTACAGGATCCTGCAGATAAAATGGCTTTCACCTCACGCAGCCCATCTAAAAAACTTGGTATCTTCATAGCTGTTGAGACTCAGTCTATACAGCAGAAAGATGTGAGGATGTGTTAGGATAGCATGAACAGCACGTCAAAAGATCAGCTAGGCAGCAGGTGATTCTCAACCTCTATTTAGAGAGATTTCACCTAGAAAATTACATCTGGGTCTGGGATGCCCTATAAAAGTGGTATGGGCCTGTTTGAGTAGGTCAAGGAGGACCATGAAAATTATCAGAGGATTGGAATGCCTCTATGAAGAAAGGTTAAAAGAGTTGGAGTTGTTTACCCCAAAGAAGATAAGGCCCTGTAAGATTGTGCTTACAAAAAAGACAGAAAAAGATATTTTAGCAGGCCCTGTAATTATGGGTTTAAACTGAAAAAAGTTAGATTTAGATTGAATATAAAGAAGGAACTTTCTATGGTGAGGTTGGTGAAGCACTGGAGCAGGCTGCTCTGAGATGCTGTGGATGCCCTATCCTCAGGCTTGATCAAGGTCAGGCTTTGGGCAACTTGGTGTCTAGCGGAAGGTACCCCGGCTCATCGTCTTTAAGGGTTCATTCCAACCCAAGTCATTCTGTGAATTCATGTATCAGCTTTGCAAAAAAAAACATTGCAAGACCAAGAATTATATGAATGTCACCAGATGTCCCTGCAAGGGAGAAGGCTTTTGAAATTTGCATTACTTAAATGAATTACAAATAGAGTAACATAAAATGATTTGGAAACTCAAAATGATGATTTCAGCATGTATGCAGATTCATTGTTTGCAAGGAATAGTATTTTTCTAGACCTGTAAGACAGGTTTTTTCTAAGTTTTGTAACTTCAGCACACAGAAAAACTCAGTGAGTTTTTTTTTTTTTTTAAAAAAAAAACATAATCAGTTCAAGTGTTTTGTGTTTCAGTAACAATCTAAAATACATGCTTCTGAAATTTGCATTATGGATTTAGGCAGTTATGTTCTCCCAGCATTCCATCTTTCCTGTGACTCTTCAATTCCCACACAGCAATTCTGTGCCAGCTTGATTAATTCATTATTCCAGTGCAGGAACTCAACACACCCTGTTTCAAGTCTCCTTAGTCTGAGCAGAACCTTGCCTGCAATTCCTTCTCCCCAGCAGAAAAGCAACATCCTGTCACATCCATAGCTGAGAGGCTCAGTTCTCAGTTACCTTGGTAATCTGGAGAAGAAAATCCCAGAAAAGATCAGTCTTGAAGACCACAGGGAGGGGGGAATTTGCAAAGAAACAAACATGGGGATGCAAGACCATGGAAATACCAAAGGGAGGTAAAAAAGAAAGGATTAACCGCAGAACTACGATTTATTCCATCTTGGTGCCATCCAAATTAACTACTCAGAAGAAACACATGAAAAGTCAAGAAAACAGCATTCAAATATAATAAATGAATTCATCTCATACCTGGGATTCCATGACCCAGGTGTGGGACCTTGCACATGGTCTTGTTGAGTTTCTCATGTTTGTCCTGGTCCCTTTGGATGGCATTCCTTCTTTCTATTGTATCAAGTGCACCACTGAGCTTGGTGTCATTAGCAAAAATGCTGAGGGTACACTCAATCCCACTGTCTAGGTCACTGAGAAAGATATTACAGAACACTGTAACTCTACTATAACTACAAGGTGTGCAAACGGCACTCCAGAGACTGTAGATAAAACTAACACATCACAGAACAAAACAATGATTGCAGAAGAATAAACTGCTTCAACCAAGGAATAGGATGACTATTTACACCATCCACCCTTATCTTCAAGATTTAATTTTCTAATCTTTTTCTTTCTTCTAGGACTTTGGTAGAGATTGAAAATAATCCTAAAATCAAAGTTTCCCTCCACTTATAAATGAGAAGTTTGTGCTGGATATAAGCATCATATAAGAGATGTTTTGTCAATAACATAAAAAAAAAACAACAAGAAAATGGGATGAAATTAGAATTCTATGATGTATAGACATGGAAGAAGCATTTAAAAGATGAAATACTCAAATAATCTAAATAAGACACTTGAATAGATTCAGGAGTGGTAACAGAAAGAAGAAAAGATCTTTATTTGAGAATATTCCTTTGGATTCCTGACAAAACACTAATTCTTTGGACTTATGTATAATTCCCTACTTAACAGGCAAAAACAATCAGATGTTATATCTTGCTTTTAAGTGTGGAAGATATTCAAGAATTGGAAAAATGGGTAACAGGCATGAAAGTATTTGTAAGCTTATAGCCCCATTTTGAAATCTGAGTTTTGCTACAGCAATATGAATATGCCCTTTTTGTCCTAAGAAGTTTTTTTTTTTTTATATTACAGAACATATACAATTTTTTGTTTTTATAATTTCTAAGAAGCCTATGACATTAAAAAGACATACCAAATAAATTCCATGTTCCTCTAATACAAATAAGCAAGAAACCAGGGGTTAAGAAAGCAAGAATCTGCAGTCCCCTTCCACCTCTCATATAGAGCCGTTTTCTTCTGGAAAACAAAAAATTACTCCCTCCTGGAACTGAATCAGAAGGCAGATCTGTCATTCAGTAGCCAGCATATGATTCAACTCAGCTTTTCAAAAAGTTAAAAAGACCAAAAGCCACCAAAAAAAGCTTTTTGAACCAAGAAAGCTGCATCATTTTAACTCTTTTGAAATGCCTGCTGCGCACTCCTGTGAATCATGCCTGCTGCAAGAGGAGCACCTCTGAGTTAAGAAGGCAGTTGACTTTCAGTGACAGCTGGCAAGCAGACACTCCCTCTACCAAAGGGACAGCCTTCATTCAACTGGAAGGTAGGAAAACATGCAATCCTGTAGATAGACTGTATAGATATTAGATCCATGATTAAAATATGTAGCAATTACAACCCTCCCTCAGCAATATTGTTTTTAAAAGAAGTAATCCAACATAGTACTTTCTAAAGAGAAAAATATCTAAGCATGTAAAACAAGATGCTTTATAAAATCTGCTTCTTGATCAGATTTTATGCTTATACTAGCATACATTGAAAAGACTGAGTAATAAACATTACTGCAACTTGGAAAAAGACATTCCATTCAAGTCTCAGGAAATGATACAAAATATTAAAATAGCACTAAGTATTCTACTATATAAAATTCAATGCTGGACTTGCAGAATGATTTAGCTATGCCTTCAAATGCTTTTAATATTCCTTCACATAATGTATACAATCAGAAAACCACTTGTGCGGTAATTAGATAATTTTCCAAATTTTAAATATTAATATTTAAATAGGAACTTTGTCCTACTTGTTAAGTCCACCCAGTGAAAGTATTACCTGTCTCCCAAATTAATCATACATTAAATTACCCAAGTAACACAATAGCAGTTTGCAAAACTGCTTGAGCTTAATAAAGTAAAAATGCATACTGCACAAACTTTGAAAAATTAGGTTGAAAGCAATTTTATTTAATCTGTTTCAGTGGTTCCATTAATGACTTAAATACTTCAGAAATGCAGCTGTATAAAATGTCTAAGAACAGGATTACAAAAACAACTGTCTTCTGGACACAGCATTAAAACTGCTGCATTAAAAACTGTAATTTTTTTTTTATTTTTTACTTTGAATTAAGAGCTGGCATACCATAATTATTTTCTTTTCTTTCCTTTTCTTCTCATGGTCTAGGATTTCCTCTAAATTGATTTTGCTATTTTTAGCCCAAAAAAGGAGATAACTTTTTTTGTGCTTCATATATATACATATATATATATACACACATTTATTATTATTTTTTAAACAGTCTATGAAAATTGAGTAGTTTTTAACGTATACATTGTACCTCATAAGTCGCACTTTGAACTTCACTAACTGTAATATTGGCTCCATTAAACTAAAAAATATGTAATATTTGAAGGCTATCTTGTGAATGGACAAAAATGAACTGTCGCTGCAGATTCCAGACGACCCTCATCACACCAACTGCTACTGCTTCAGTCTGTGAACGCAGACAAATCTTTAACATTTTCAAGTCAATCTCGAAGAAAAAAATTAAAAAACAGTTTTTAAGGAGAGTTTTCATGTTATACATTATACAAGAGAGCCCAAGTTTGGCTTAGGAAGGCACCAGCACTTTTTCTATTACCTTATCTTCAGATCTTGTCTTCCAGCTCACACTGTAAAATGTAAATATGGGTTCACCTTTGCCCACATGCTGCCTTCATACTTGAAATTATGAACAGTGATGATTTAAAAGAATAGACCATTCAAAATCATCAAGAGTACTTCACACCTAATCAACGCATAGGCAAAAATATTATTATTTTATTATATTAGTTTGCATTATTATTTTTTAATATCATGTTGTACCTCTAGTGTATTTCACTGAAGTGGTTTCATCTACCAGGTCTCTTTGCGTTTTTTTTTTCTTTCTTTTCTTTTTTTTTTTTTTTTTTTCTCCTTTTTGCAGTTACTTTACCTCAACAGTTTCCTGGGGCAATTAGTTCTACAAAGGTAATCGTGTTGCATAGGAAACCATGCCTCTAAATTTCTCCCACCACCTTCCACATATCACAGGAATTGGACAGGAAGGAATCTCCCAATAAGGATGGATGTGTCAGAAATTCCTTTTCGATACAACATGCAACCTTCCTAAAATTAAAGACTTAAGACTCAGTGGTTGGTAGAAGTTCAGCATGGCTTGCCATGCAAATCAATCATTTTGCCTTCTAAAAGCAGCTTGGAGACAGAAAAATATGCATTTTAATAATCTTGGCCTAAATTATGCTGTTGTACGAATCAAAGTAGAATACCCTTAAGAATTTCAGATAAAGGAAAATAGAAATGTACCAAATAACACTGTCTCGCCTGAACATACTATTGCTGATTGAGCTTCAATTTCTCTTAATAGAGAATTACTGACAGTAATTTTGAAAGATTCAACATATCTTCCATTTGCAGTCTGAAGGAACTCCAGATTGTATGAATGCATGTACCAGTTAAACCTTAAGTTTTTTTTTATCTTTCTATTCTGCCACAGCTTATTTGCTGTTGAGTGTCACTTCAATCTGTTATCCAAAGATGTAATTATTGATGTTAAGATATTTATGGGGTAGACCGAAGTAATAGACCATACCTTATAAAGATCTTAATTTAATAATCACCAAATTACAATACTTGCATGAAATATGGTTTATCTTTGAAGATGTTTTTTACAAAACATTTTTCATTACGGCAATTGGTGTTCAGTGTGCACATATTTTTCACAGGTTCCAGAATACCTTGTTATGTTTTGGTAATTCCCTCTCTACTTCTATATTTAGTAAACTGAAGAGAATCATCTGCTTCCTTCTGAGCTTGAGGCCAATTGGCACAAACTGTTCATAGTCACACCAGTAAATACTAAAAAAAAGGTTAAATTCTCCATACAAATGCCTGCTGGGAAAACTTGCTATCCTAACAAATTCCTCAACTCCCTAACTGTGCTTGAGTTTTCTAAGATATCATGGCCAATGAACCAAAAGGATGATAAGGAGAGAATAAGCTACAAAGTAGACAACAGACTGCTGAGGTCTGAGCCTGGGTCTTGGCAGAGATCAATTTACAAATACAGGTATAACCTACTGTTACTGTATCAATGACTTTTCAAAAGTGTCAATCCATTTGCAGATCACCTACAGCATAAAGGAGTTAGCAATATCAAACTTACGTTTCTGCTTTACTGAAATTAGTATGAACAGCTCATGAGCACATTATGTTCTGCTCTAGACTGCCTGATATGCCAAGCAAATCTTGCACTGCAGACAACCTAAATCACAGAATCACCTCTCCTTGTCGTGTCCATGTCAGAAATTATCTTCCACACACTGTGGGAACCTCCTTGACTGTGTGTGTCTGACAGTGCTGCTTTTCAAGCAAATATCAGGGTGACTGAAATCCCCTATGAGAACCAGTGCCTGTGATCATGAGGATACTTCCAGATGTCTGCAGAAGGCCTCAACTTTCTCCTCCTGATCAGGCAGCCTGTAGTTAATACCTACAGTAGTGCCACACATATAAGATTGCCCCTTAATTCCCATACATAAGCTCTCCACTTGTTTACCATTCATCCCTAGACAGAGCTTGATACATTCCAGTCATTCTCACACAGAAAGAGCAACTCAACACCTTGCCTTGGTGGCGTCTTACCTAAAAAGTACATAGCCATCGATCACAGCACAAACTTTCACTGAGCTCAAGTCAGAGTAACTCTGACAGCAAATAAATATATTCTTGGTTCCACCAGGACCAGAATAGCTTTTCAGCTTCTTTTCAGGCTCAGTGATTTTCTGCAAACATATCAAAGATTATATATCACCAGTCTTTTCCCCATTATGACCATTTTCCAGTGGACTCAACCTGATCTTTCAGTTATGAATCATATGTCAACACCTCATGTCCAATTCTCACAAGACAGTACATCACTTATTACCAATCACACCAGTGGTTCCAAGTGCTTAATTTTCAATTTTAGTACTTTCTAAGAAATAACATTAGAACTATTTATGCCAGTAGCATTAGAGCTAAATGACTTTTCATTTTCTGAAGCAAGTTCAAAGCAGAAGTGTATTTCATAATTCTGCCCCAATATTATTAAAGATTTGATATGTTTGTCCTCTTCTGCCAAATTTAAAGAAGATTAAGGACTGAACTCATTGCTAATTATTTGGGGGATGAGAGAAAGACTAGTTGCTTACTAAGCCGATTAGAGTAAGTCATTCAGATTCACTGCTTTCCCCACTGACTTAATAGCGATTTTTCTTCAATCTTTAATACTCTGAAAGTACTCATTTTCTTCTTCTCCCCATCACTTGCAACAGTTTAATTATTCTTCTCCATAATTCCAATTTTCATTTGAAAAGTCTACTTTCATGTTCATTCACAACACAAATCAGAGAAAGGTTACTTTCGAACCTTTTTATAAGTTTTCTCAAATGACAAAGCATCATTTCAAACATTCCCACTTTTACAGTACTTTTTGAGTGCCTTGATTGTAGAGGTATGAGAAATTACATCACTGAAAAATCAGTTGGAACCTGGAAAATGTATAGTGAAATCAAAAACAACTGAACTTGAAAATACTGCAATAGTACCTCACAGTTACGCTTCCAGTTCCTGCTGCTACCCTCCAGCCTGGGTTCCAGAACTGGTCCACATGAGCTATGACACAGTTATCCCCTCACACTGCAAAGAGGAAGCAATTTCACAGCAATTTTTTTTCATTTTACATTGAAAAAAATAAATGCACATAAGTTCCACCCACAGTCTATTTTAGATTGATTGGTTCTCACTGTAAGTTCAGAAAAGTGACTTAAGTAGGAAACAGATCTTCAATATTTGCAAAGTTTGCAACTTCTGCAGTCCACAGTGCAGATAATGCCACAGCTTGTTGTCCTCCCTTGCTGTGGCATAAGCCACACACAAGAGGAACCAGCCGATGTCATGTCCAGTATCATCCACCTCACAATCTGGCTGCCTGCAGCTAGCTCTACAAAGAAGGGTGGCTACATCCTGGAGTGCTATGTCTGCAGTGTAAAGCTGGGTACTGGGTTTGTCCATTTGCTGCTATGGTGGCTGTATATACTCATGGATCTACAGGAGAAAAGAGGAGCTGCATCAGCCAAGTACTTGACCCTTCCTCCTTACATACATTTCTCTCCAGTGCTATGTTTTCCAGTATGAACAGTTTGAATTTACTGGCCATCACAGCTCTGAACCTAGACTCATTTGATCTACTGCACAACAACACATCTTAATTTGATACGCTTCAAACTATTAAGCTGATATGCTTCAAAC